AACGTGTTTTATTTTTAAAAGTAAATGTAACATGATTTCTTAGAATTCTCATTTGTAAGGGCATAATGGTGGAGTTATGTGATTGTTTGATGAGTGGATGATTTCGTGTCACTCGACCGTTAAAAAGATCCTGAAGAGGAGGTGTAGATGACATTCTCCTGAGGGCCCCATGTCGGTCATGTCTTACACTGGTTGGTCAAAAGGATGGCACCTGTGTCAGTTTGGCGGATATGGGAACTCTCCCTCGACATTCTAATTGTAGATCTTGATCTAATCCCTATTTAAAAACTAACTAATAGATTATAAAAGTTAGGACATGGCCACTAAATAAGGGTAGAATCTTGTTCCTCTAATAACTTTGAGCTAGGACCTTCAAAGATTTAGTCTAATTTATTTCATAAATGACTCAACCACAATGCAAGAGAGAGAAAGTAAAAAAATATAATTAAGCATGTAATCTACCACTAAACCTTTAAAATGGTGTTAGGAATAATATTGACTTACCTTCAAGAGTCTTTTCCTCCAAAAGAATAAAAAGCAAAACCTTCACTCCTTAGATTTGTAACTTTTGAAAAATTGCTCAAGCCCCTCCTTGCTTCCTTCTTTCACTACAGTCGTATCTGTCGCGGGGAGGAAGGAGGAGGTCTCTAAAATATACTGTAGCAATTAATAGAGGTATCTCTAGTTATATTAAAGCCGCATCTACAAATGCCATTTTAGAGGTGTCTAGGAAACACAGCCGCCTCTGTAAATGACCCCTCTAAATTGACCCCAATTTATAGAGGCAGCTCCATAAATTGCCAATTTAAGAGGCGACTGGATTTTGGGGAGCTGATGAAGGCTTTTATACATGCAGCTAGAAATTGAGCTGTCTCTAAAAAAGATAAGGCCATTGCTAAACATTATTTTTTTTATAGTAGCAATAGAAATATAAAACGTACTAATGTTTATGTCTCATAATAAGATTCTTGCACGTGGGAAATCACATGCTGATGGACTTGTTTCTCCAACTGATGGCGTGATCTTGACAGATCATATACATACAAGTTGACTTGACGCGCTACCCTGAGAAATGAAAAGATCACCCATATGCACGAATCATGCCCACACGCTCGTTCTAGAAGCGCGAATATCACATCGAATCAAATCAAATCGGATTTGGACACAAGAATCTAGCGCCAGTAAAGATAAGCACCAGAGTTTTGTCATCGTCGACGTGACGAGACAAATATCACATCCGTGCAGAATTTCTATGTTGGGTTTGGACATGGAGGTGAAAAGTGACGGGTAACCGGTGAATTTGACTGACTTTTCGCTGCCTGCAATGTCGGTCAAGATAAGATTAAGCAATGAAACCAAAGTGTGTGGACGTGAGGTGCTATTGAACTCTTTTAAATCCCTGGTGTCCCCAATCCTGAACCAGCTGGGCACCCCCAAACACAGTTCACGGTTCATGCACTTCAAAAGGCAACCTGGCAAAGCCAAGAAGACAAGCAAGGCTGCTGCAACGTTGCGCCCTCTTCATACGATCATCAGAGACAGAGGTTCTTATTCTCCCTCCTAATAACTAGTACGTGCATTTTTTTTTTGGATTGTCTCCTACCGTTAGGCCTGCCATGTTTGTTGTCGTACGTGACTGCGAAAATTTTTAATTACGAGCGGTTGATACATATGTAAATTATTTTTCCAGGCGAATTCACGGTATCTTGTCCTAGTTAGTTGACACGGAAAGTAGTTCCCCTTAAATTACTCATCACAAGGCACTATATCATGTCATTTTGTTCAAAGCTATCATGTCATACAAATATATAAATTAAACATTGATGCAGCAGTGCACCCAATACATGCATGGTATCCTATGTTACACTGTGTTTTAGGATATTAAGTCAAGTAATTCTTGCATATATTTTATCTATGACAGTGGACCCAAATTTAAGCATGTCAATAATTTTTAGTCTTGGATATCTAGCACAAACATATCCCTTTATATGATGATATTGTTTTCCTTACTTCGTTCTTATTAGTTTTGTGCCAAGGCAGAAAAAAAAATTATATGATGTGACAGTTATTTAACTTTATTTTAACACTATGAACTCGGAATAGTTTTATGAATACAAAGACATAATGACACAATGTTAATATATCATATTTCGCAGGTAAAAAGGGCATTATGTTTGGCTACCAACCAGTAAAACTCGCCATGCTTATGCTAGCGGCCTTTTTGCTGCTAATGTCTTACGGGGTTGGCAGCATCCGCTGCTTAACTATACTGAACAACAACACCACGGACATGCTAATGTTATCTGATTTCAGGGGAGCCATCACCAGTGATCCACAAGGAACACTGAGCTCCTGGAACAGCACCACCCCCTACTGTCAATGGAAGGGTGTCAAATGCAGCCTCAGGCACCCAGGCCGAGTCACCATGTTGAACCTAGGTGACCAAGGCTTGTCGGGCTCAATTTCACCCAGTCTTGGGAACTTGACGTTCCTTATGGTACTCAACCTGTCCCAAAACAGCTTCTCGGGCGAGTTGCCTGACTTCGTTCGTCTTCAGAGACTTGAAATGCTTGATCTGGGCACAAACATGTTAACGGGCACAATCCCCCCAAAAATAGGTTTCCTTCCTAAATTAGCTTTTCTTTCCCTTGTTAAAAATAGTCTTACTGGGACCATCCCACCAAGCCTCATCAACGCCACCCAGCTACGGGGGGTTTTCCTCCATGCAAATCAGCTCCAAGGAGTCATTCCCGACCAGCTTTGGCAATTACCCAATCTCAGACAGCTGTTCCTTGGTGAAAATATGCTATCAGGTTCCATCTCTCCTGCCATTTCCAATCGGTCTTCCCTTCGTGCTCTAGACTTAGGTTCAAATATGCTGGGTAATGCACTGCCAGCCAATATTGGCAACATATTCCCTGATCTTTTAACACTAAGCCTACGAGATAACATGCTGGAAGGTCAAATTCCGGCTTCATTAGGGAATGCTTCAGGGCTGGAATATATAGATCTTTCAAATAACCATTTCGCTGGTCAAATTCCAATTTCTTTTGGTAAACTTTCGGGGCTCCATTTTATAGGACTTCAGCAAAACAAATTGGAAGCAAAAGACACCAAAAGCTGGGAATTCTTAGACGCACTGAGCAATTGTACTCTACTGTATACGCTCCAGCTAAGTCAAAATCAACTGCAAGGAGCTATACCAAATTCTATAGGTAAGTTATCTCCCAATCTTCAATGGCTAACTTTAGACACAAACAATCTATTGGGGACTGTTCCTATGAGCATATCATACTTATCTGGTCTAACATCACTTCAACTACAAAACAACAGCCTCACTGGTCCCATTGGAGAGTGGGTGGGAAACATGACAAACCTACAGGGTTTAGTTCTTGATGAAAACAACTTCATTGGACGAATCCCGTTCTCCATTGGTAATCTTACTCGTTTGGAATATCTCTCGTTAGCCAACAATGATTTTGAAGCTCCCATACCTCCTAGCTTACTAAACCTTTCACAGCTCTCTCATTTGGACCTTAGTTATAATAACCTACAGGGCAACATGTTTACTTAATTATCATCTACAGTAACTATATATAACATATCCTACAACAGTTTAGATGGTCCAATACCCACAGATATTGGCAATCTGAACCAACTTGTTGAGCTTCATCTTTCATCAAACAAACTTTCTGGGGAAATTCCTGATTCTTTGGGGGAATGTCAAAAATTGCAGATCCTTCAAATTGACCATCATTTTCTCAGTGGAAACATTTCAATGTCTTTGATCAGACAGAAGAACTTAGCCTTGCTTAATCTCTCACACAACAATTTGTCTGGCTCAATAACTGTAGCACTGGGTGATCTAAAATTTCTCGCCCTGTTAGATCTCTCTTACAATCATCTGTATGGAGAAATACCAAGCAGTGGGGTATTTGAGAATGCTGCATCTGTCTCACTCAGTGACAACTCCGGGCTTTGTGGTGGAGCTGTAGATCTAAAGATGCAGCCATGTCCTCATGTGTCCAGGAGAAGATTAACATAATACTACATGATTAGAATACTCATTCCCATATTTGGATTCATGTCACTCATCTTGTTGATCTATTTTCTTCTTACTGGGATGAGGAAAGCAAGAGAATCATCGCCGTTGCAAGATTTTACCGGTGAACAATTCCCCAAAGTATCCTACAAGTGTGTGTTGGCCTTGGTAATCAGAGTATTACCAAGTTTGTTGTTTCGCTTAAAACTCTCTTTCTGCTTAATGAAATACGCGTCGAAAGGCGTCGTCTCAAAAAAAAAAAATTAGCTGAAGCCACACAAAACTTCTCTGAATCTAATCTGCTTGGCAGAGGAAGCTATGGTTCAGTATACAGAGGACACATCTTGAAAAATAAAATTGAAGTGGCTGTTAAGGTGCTTGATCTTGATATGAGAGGTGCAGAGAAAAGTTTTTTTCTCAGAATGTGAAGCGTTGAGAAGAATTCAACATCGTAATCTTGTGCCGATCATAACTGCATGCTCTACTGTAGATAGCGACGGCAATGTTTTCAAAGCTCTAGTTTATGAATTCATGCGTAACGGCAATCTGGACACATGGTTACACAACAACCTGGAAGTGAAATCTCCAAAACATCTGAACTTAACTCAAAGACTAAGCATAGCTGTTAACATAGCTGATGCATTGGATTATTTACACCATGACAGTGGAAGTCCTATTGTTCATTGTGATGTCAAGCCCAGTAACATACTACTAGACGATGACATGACTGCTCATTTGGGTGACTTTGGCATTGCAAGCTTCTATCTTAATTCTCAGTTGATGACATCAACAGATTCAACTACTTCAGCCGGGATCAAGGGAACTATTGGGTACATTGCTCCAGGTATTGTCCCTGCTTCCCATATGTTTGATATGCATTACTAATTAAGATTATTCTTTTCGTTTAGACTGCGATGATGGATACATTGCATTGCAATACTAACGTTCTTTTGTTTAGAATATGCTGGAGGTGCTCGTGTATCGACTAGCGGGGATGTTTACAGTTTCGGAATTGTGCTTTTAGAAATATTGACGGGGAAAAGACCTACTGACCCAATGTTTGAGAATGGAGCCAACCTTGTTGATTTCATAGATAAGAGCTTCCCAGATCAGATATCGGATATTATTGATGCCCCCATCCAAGAAATGTGCAAAGTAACCACTCAAGGAAGAATGGACGACATAGACACTGCTGTTCATCGATGTGTTCTATCTATGCTACAGGTTGCACTTTCTTGTACGTGCCAATTACCAAAAGACCGGATGGACATGAGAGAAGTAGCAAGCAAGATGCATGCTATAAATATGTCCAGCATCAAAGGAAAATAATAATTTACAGGTCATCTGTCATGGTCGGCAGGACATATACTAGAAGGGGACCAGCGAATAGGGCAATGGGCTAGTTATTTAGTGAGGGGCATTAAGCCCAGCTGATATAGATCTAATCCAGATAGATGGTTAGGCTCTTGGGCCAAGTCTACTAGCAATTGTAACCCCCTTATATATACGAGGGTGACAATCAATGAGAAGGCAAGCAAGTTTAGGGTTAATCCCTTTATCTCTCCTCCCTCTCATCTATTTCTCTGCCGCCGCCGCTTCTCCTCCTCTTCTCCACGCCCGTGCCCCCTCCAAGGTCGCAGCCCCCCACTGCTGCTGCTTCCCGCTGCTGCCCACCGGCCGCCAGCCTAGCTTAGCCTGGCCCGTCCACCACCACTGACCGGCCGCCGCTTTGCCACCAGCCGGCCGGCCACTGAGCCACCAATACAGCCTGTCGCCGCCCAGATCAGCCCTCAGAAGGTCACTTCTTGCCCCTGGGAGATTAGGCGTCTGACAACTGGTATCTGGAGCCATGTTGTGATCAACTCCATGGAGGATATTCGCGACATCATCGATCACTGGGCAAAGAGGTTCAAATTTTTTTTGAGAAACGTGCCAGGTCATCATCCCCAACACAACCAAATCCGGAGGAGGGACAGAGATATGTGCCCCAAGGCGACCTCTATTACCAACTCCTTCCCCATAGCAGATCATAGCGGAGCAGACTGTCCTAACCGAGGAACAGCAACCACCACGGAACAACAAAGACATCCAGAAAGGTGAACAACAACAGCTGAGACGTCCATCAAACACTCACAAATTGTCGTTGTAAGGAAAATGGACCATTGGCCCATTTACTTTGGATTTTGGTGTTTGATGACCAACACAACCAAATTGGACTAATGAACTTGCAAGTGATTGTTTTGTAGTTCAATAGGATGCAAGACGTGACTTGGACGAAGGCGACGTGATGATCCGATGATCAACACCATAAGCAAGACCCTAGGAGCACAAGAGAAGACCCAAGATATAAGCAAAGTCCAAGCATGAAGATAGGAACCAAGCCGTACGCAAGATCGCGAAGAAACGAGCTCACAGAAGTGACCGGATGCTGGACCGGACGCTGGAAGAAAGTGACCGGACGCTGGCGGCAGATCTACAGGACGCAGGACAGTAGAGTCCGGTCGAGTACAGAGAGGTTCTAGAGCGGCGAAACTGCGACCGGACGCGTCTGGTGGCAGGTGACCGGACGCTGGCAGTGTCCGATCAGTTGTTCGCGGCTCCAACGGTCGGGACGACCGAACGCGTCCGATCGGGACGACTCCAGCGTCCGGTCAGTAGCAGAAAAGCAGGATTTCGTCCCCAACGGCTACTTTCTCAGTGGGGCTTATAAATACAACCCCAACCGGCCAAATAAAGTGTGTGGAGCTGAGGAAACATACCAAGGGTGTTGATACACCATTTTAGTGATCTCTACTTGCATAGTGCTTAGTGATTCATCAGGTGATTAGCGTAGGTGCTTTGCGAAGTGCTTAGGTTGATTAGACCACCGCTCATGCGCTTGCTCTAGGTTTAGGCCTAGTGTTTAGTGAGGTTTGCATACCTCTTACCACTCGGTGTTTGCGAGCGCCATTGATGTACATCGAAGGGGCTTGAAGTCTTGCGAGATCACACCAGCCGCGTTTGTGGTGTGGCCGTCACCGTGTACCGGAGGGAACAAGGCCCGCGGTGTTTTGGCCAGAAGCTTGATAGTGAAGATGGCGGGGAGCATCCGGGAGAGGCTTGCTAGAAGGCACGTCGGAGACCCACTTGCACATGGGGAAGACCCGAGGCTATCCATGGAGTTACCCGACCAGGAGCTTGGCCCTTGCGAGGGGCTCCAACGAGGACTAGGGGGAAGCTTGCGCGCTTCTTGATATCTGGGTAAAAATACCGGAGTCGTCGACAGGAGTTTGCATATCTCTATCTTGCTCTTTAGCTTCCGCATTTACATTGATTGTATTACTCCTTTTGTGGTAGAGATAGCAACACATTAGCAAAACTATAGTTGCGCATTTAGATAGTTTATTTTTTGCATAGGTTTTGCTAAGGATAGAAAAAGAGGCCATAATTTAGAAGTAGATTTTTTAAGTTGCCTAATTCACCCCCCCTCTTAGGCATCACGGTCCCTTCAGTCATTCCCTGAGTACAACGGGAATGAGGAAACGTCTGCCTTTCATTCCTTGTTTTGTGGCTGCCAGGGCAGAGCAACACTGCCGCTCATAGAGCAATAGTGCCACGCCTTAAAATCTGACCATTGGAGGAAGGGATATTTCCTTCAACCCCCCCCCCTTTCTCTCCCAATGGTCATCTCAACCATTCCCTTCTCCAGTGCTCCGACAACAGCTCTCTCCCTCTCTCTAACTCCATTGGAGCCCCTCAAGCTTCTCCTTTGCTTCCCTTGCAAATCCATGAGAGTTTGACCCTCCAAACTGCATTAGAGAGCTCACCAATCTGTTCTTCAACTCCTAAAGCACTTGGTTCGCGTTCAAGCTGGTGGATTGTGTTTGTTACCCTTGTAGCAAGGCTCCTAGATGGCTAGGCATCGCCCGGAAGCTTCCAACTCTTGTGGCAGCTCCAGGACGTTTGTTATCACCCTCTACATCTAGTAAGAACCCCTCATCTCAAGAGATTTGCTCTCTTGACATGAGAATGAGAATAAGGTTGAAAGAGACCAAAGCCTTTTTGGCTTCGTCAACAACGTGGACATAAGCAAGACTTGTTTCACTCTGATTTCAAGTGCTAATAGTGGGGATCGACCAGATCGTTACAGCCATAATAGCGAGCTATACACCAGATTCAACTAGCTAGTAAACGTACTCAAGATCAGACATGCCTTGACCGCGTACTATGCACGATCAAGATCTTGATATGTACCTGGACGTCATGTCTCTCTCAAATTTATTAAATAATATTTCCTGGCCGGCTCATAAATATCCCTTAATTAGGAAGCTTTCTTGCTTTTGACATCATCGGCCGATCTCTTTCTTTCTAGGATAAGCTTACCAAATTTTAGTGTAAACACAGGCCCCCTAGTTCGGAGTATGAATTTTCATGCTTCGAACTATTTTGATCCAATAATCTCCTTTCCCAAGTCAACGACATCTGATTGCAATACTTGGCTTTGATGACTTACTTGGGTTGAATGTTCATCTGCTTTAGCCGATTAAGAGCTAGCCCCCGAGTTTATAACTATAATCGGCTATCAAATCACTAGTAAGGAGCTGAAGAATTCACTGGTAGCAATATTACCTTATTCCAAGCTTCACCTATACATGTGAACTTTGACACGCCATCTTGGGTGGTTGAAGAATGGAACGGATTAGAATCCAGTCATCCTCACTTCTCCTGCTCAGAAAACTTGAGTTTTTTGAAACATTTTTAAATTAAAACATAGCTTTGCTCCCCAAATAATTCTCTCAGATCGTTCAATATGCATAGTTTCTCACCAAGACATTGTTTTGCCTCTATTTACCCTACTTCTAAAAAGCTTATGTGGAGTTCGGGTAGGGACAAAGTATGTAGCATACTTACCTTACGTATCGTAAAGCCAAACCCTGGATCCAAGGAGAGAAGTGTCATACTCTTAGATCAAGATGTGCATGTGTGTGGAATATTTAGTGGCTAACCTAATTCTACTATGCTCTCTGAAATATATTTCTCTCTTGTGAAATATTTTTGCGAGAACATGGGTTATCTTTATTCTTATTTCTTTTTCTTTTTCTTTTTCTCCTTTTTTACTTTGGACCTCTTTTGTGTCCATCTTTTATATTTTGCATAACCCATGTCTCTTTTTACAACAACTTTTGAGAGAAATATTATCAAGAACTTGGAGCATTTATTCTGATAAAACCTAGCAAACATATTTTTGTGTTCTCCTAGTGTAGGAGCATATCATTTTGAGGTGGATGAAAAACATGTTTTTGCGTACTTCCAGTATAGAAGCAGCACATATATGTGGCGTGTACGTGATTTTGATCTTGGGAGCATGACAAATCTCTCAACAAGGGTCAACAAGACTTGACAAAACTCAACAAAGAGCAAGCAGCTTATGTGAAAGGTTTTTAATGAGACTAATATATGGCTCTGGTAGAAAATTCAACATCATTGAGGAGACAAGCTATTGATTTTGAATTTTTGTAAGAAAATTTCCCAAGTACTTTGCAAAAAGAAGCAAGGTTTCTTTCATCATACCATATCTCATTCATCAACTACTTAGATAGCATGCTTTCCCTATGATAGATTATTCACAAGTGACAGGAAAAGCAGGAAATAAAGAATATGCGTAACTCTGCTTTGAACCGATGAATGCCTTTGCTCGGACTTTCTCCCAATACGCATATATCAGCTAGATTTCGTCGGCCTTATGATCTCTGTGTTCCCAATCAAACATATGATATGGCATGACCACACGTACTTCCAAGATCTGATTCATCCTTTTTGTGCCCACGTACATCATGTATATATATGCATGGAAATCTGACTTGCATGCACTACATAAAGGGCTCTATCGGCTTGATGCCTTGATCTTCCAATTCTGAACCGATTGCGAGCAATCTTTCATTTACAGCTTCTGACTTTTAATAAGGCGATTGTCAGTTTTAGAAGTCCCGCAATCAGATCAAGTTGAGAACACAGAGAGAGAGCACTACAAAAAAATCGCTTGTCGAAGCCACAAACTGTAACAAAGGTTAGGGTTGGCCAAGAGGCTTCCTGCATTGGCCGCTAAGCGTGCTGTAGGTGCATCATGGTAGTGCAGACGCCTTTGTTGTCGTCGGACATGTCCTCGCCAAGCACGAGCTTAGAGACCCTATTTTCCGCCAGCTCCTATCTTGTCACCAATGAAGCAGCGGTCGATCATGTCGACACGGGGCTTCATGCTGAGCCGTCTGAAGGGCGTGGCGGTAAATGCCGAGGATCGGCCGATGAGCTTGGCCACTGTGGCGGTCAGCTTGAATAGTCTGCTGATGTCG